CGCCAGCCCTCGCCTCACCATCCAGGAATTCATCAGTGTTCACTTCACCATCCAGGAATTCGCCAGCCCTCACCTCACCATCCAGGAATTTGCCAACCTGCACCTCACTATCTAGGAATTTGCAGTTCATTGCCACGAAGTCTGGGAATTTCCCATCCGTCTGCTTACAGTCTAGAAATGCACATCTTTCAAGAATTCATTATCCTTTGCCTCGATGTCTAGGAATGTTCCATCTTCAGCCTCACAGTCTAAGAATTCACCATCCATCACCTTACAGGCAATGATCTCCCAGTCCAGGATCTCAAGATTCGTGGCCTCCCAGTCCAAGAATTCATCATCCTTTGCCTCACAATCTAGGAACTCGCCATCCTTCACCTCAAAATGCAAGTAATGCACAAAGGGTTCTGGCCACAAGGACATCGTTCTCCGCTTGCACCTCCTGCTTTATTCATAAATATCTTCAATACTTTGTTTAATTACATTAAAAAAATTAATTATGCATTTTATTTACATTTATAAATATAATCCTTATACATATACCAAGGTACAATATAATGAGATTTAAATCCTACATTTGTTGTGTATTTTGTTTATATAATGAGTACAATATCTTGTTAATATAGCCCTTATATTTTTTCAAGTTTTCTTGTAGAAAGTGTAGATTAAAGAATATCTGGTTACTGTGTTCACATTGTGTTCTTTCTATACATAATCTATTGATCCTAAATAATAAATGGAGAAAAGAGTCAAAACTAAAACCAATTGTGGAGAACAATTTTTGTCCCATGCATACTTAACCTTGGAGGATTCAAGAATAGAACAAGAGGTATATGTGTGGGAACCGACCTGTGAGATTTATATTTATTTAATTTATATGAATTTATATTTACGTTAATTTATATACTTCGATAGCAATTTGTATAATGTTAAGTGGACTGTATTTCTGCAATAATCTCATAATCTCACAAATCGATCCTCTACACATTAGGGGGGGTTTATATTACACATATGCAGCCAATCAAATTACAGTAATAGCTACATACATTGATGAGGTTCCTTCTCTTATAGTACAGCAGGTTAGTCCACCAGGTATAACTAGAGTGTAGACACCAAATTATCCTCTTTGAGGTAGCTTCTATCACCCAGTAACTGGTGCACATAATCTTGCATCCTCGTCTTGACCTGTCAAAAGTGCGCTAGCTGTGAAGCCAGAATCCTATATATGACAAGCTATATCAGAGAAAACACTATACAGTACATGGAACATTAAAGACCTGGCTTAATTACCTTTAGTATGAGGCGATTTCGCGTTCTAACCGGCTAACCCTATATCCTGACATTAATGGCCATAAATGAATGATAAACGGGTTTCGGATAGACACTTAACTTGTATTTGTAGACAGCGTGTTGACAATGGTACACCTTTGGGTTCCATAACACTACGTCCAAGCAAATTTAACAGGAGCCGAATTTGCTCCCGTGTGAGCCTCTGGTCTCATATAACAATGATGGCTGCCCTCCTCCTCCACTCTGACGCCTGGCTTACATTGTCCAGATTTCAGAACGTGATAGAAGGGTCACATTTACTCTACTTTAATATTGATAATTAAGTTAATTTATATAAGATGTTTTTATGATGGTAAAGTCCAAAGACTAATGTATTAAGAATAATTCCCAGCAGAATAGCTGGTGAATTATAATAGTATGTGGTGATGATATCCCGTTTTCTATAGACGGTAATTCCACTACAAGTTACGTTTTCTATGGGTAACTTGCTTATACAACAGCAATTATCTGTATGATTATTAAATGGGGTCGGATTTTCCGACAATATGGGTGAACAAAAGAAATTCATCCTATTTATCCCCAAGAAATAAGTAATTGTTAGACCAACAGGCCCTATTTGTCATACGTGACAAATTTTTGTAGAATAAACTGGACTAATAATACTGTACAGGGAATGTTGAAGCGGAAGATTTTTTTAGAATTAGAACATACGAATCGATGAAACTGCAGACGGCCTATTGGCCCATACAAGGTAGCATCTATTTAAATACATCCAGACTCGTTCATATATATGTCTAACCTACGCCTGAAGAAATCAAGGAATCCTACATCTATTATGTTATGCGGTGATTGGTTCCACAAATTGACAACCGTTACCGAACCAATATTTACACAGGTCTTTCGTAAATCTAAGCTTATCCAATTTATATTCATTGCTTCATGTTCTATTTTGGGTTTGATACTTTTAATACACTATTCATATCCCCTTTCTTATGCCCATTCATCCACTTGTACACCTCAATCATGTAACCTAATTCTTAATTAGGTTTAATGTAAATTAAGCTCCATCAATCTCTCTTCATGTGAAAGGTTTCTAATTTGCAGGATTAACTTTGTCATCCTATGCTGGATGCATTCTAGTGAATTTATATAAATTCTATAGTAGTATGGGAACCAAAACTGAACTGCATAATCTAAATGAACTTCATAATTTCATTACTAATACTTCATAAAATAAATTCCAGTGTTCTATTCATATTTTTTCAAACATTTATGCATTGATTTGTTGGATTGAAATTCTTACTAATTATAACTCTCAGAGCCCCTTTTGCAATCCGGCTTTGCAATCTCAACACCATCTAGCTCGTATCCTGTAACTATTATCAGTACCCAGCCCCAAAATTTTGTCAATTGTCAGCATTAAATTGCATCTGCCAACCTTTTGACCATTTCAAAGCCCTATTTAGATCAAAATAGTTGATAATTTTTCCTTCAACATATATTATGGAACCAACATGAGAAAATATTATTTTAGACTAGTGTTGGCTAATCTGGGAGACAAATATAATTGAAGTAGGGAGCGCACAAGGGAGGAGTGATTGAGCATATCAGATTTAACATAGCATGGACATTGTATAATAAAAACTGAGTTACGGTTGCCAGATTTCCATTAAGCTGATTTTGAGAGAATTGAAAAAATAGGTACAGTAGTACTAAAAATTATGTATGCCCAAAGCAACGTACATAAGAGGCAAATTGGAATCATAAGGGGTATAAACTAGCCGACCTCTTGTGTTCAAAAGAACTTGATCAGATATCCTTTGGATATGTTTATAACTTTTTTTTTTTTTTTTTTTTTTTTTTTTTTTGATATATACAAGAGTTGTTACATTCTTGTACAGCCACTAGTACGTGTAGCTTCTCGGGCAAGTCCTTAATCCTATGGTCCCTGGAATACGATCCCCTGCCGAGAAGAATCGTTTTTTCATCCAAGTACACATTTTACTGTTGCGTTAAACAGAGGCTACAGTTAAGGAATTGCGCCCAGTAAATCCTCCCCGGCCAGGATACGAACCCATGACATAGCGCTCGCGGAACGCCAGGCGAGTGTCTTACCACTACACCACGGAGACTGCTAAACTGGGTTATGCATACATCAGGCTGCAAGTAGCTGTATCTAACAGCCTGGTTAACCAGACCACCAACTAGGAAGCCTGGTCAGAGACTAGGCTGTGAGGACATTGATCCTCGGAACTAATGCCAGGTAAGGTTAAGTCCTTGGGATGTGACCAAGTCAAGCAAGAGGTGACATGACACTGGATTATAATAGACATCCAAATCATAACTTACTTAAATATATTAGTTGTAAAGCCCATGAAGTTAGCATACCATATAAATTTATTAGCTCAAATAGCAATGACCAAAAATGGATACAATGGGACTAAAGAACCTTGTCAGAAACGAAGTCTGTATGTACATAATTAAGAATGGAAAAGACTACTGTACATAGATTCCTAGAATAACAATTTCAGAAACAAGTAAGAAATGTTATGCATTAAATAAGTAAATCTAAAATAAATTCTGAACTATGTACAGAAGGGCAGGCAAATTGTAAAAACTTTTTCGAATATGTCAAAGATTAGGTTAATGGAAAAAACAAGTCGGGTAACTAATAATGACAAAGAAATGGGTGGTATTTAAGTTGCAAGAACTGGGGCGAGATATTAGTTAAACAAAAAATGGTAGTCAACATCGTAAGAGGTCTGTCTCCATGTCTGAAGAGCTAGAGTGAGGCCAGGAAATATATATAAATAGGTTGTTTTCATAAGTACTTTGTTTCTATATTAACAAAAGACTAACTTGACCTTTTCAGTTGAAGGTAACTAGTTTAATAATTTCCTTGCCGGTAAGCATTAAACAAAGACAATTTCAAGGCCAACAAGTTCCCAGCATTTGTAAGAAATGTAAAGAAGTGCTTAGTGAGCCATTGTATGGCATATATAATAAATTATTCGTTTTGTAGAGTACAGTAACAGAATCATGAATGAGGTATAATTGACAAGGGAGATAATTTACCTAAGGTATGACAGTCCCAATGTAATAGCCTGAGAGGACTCTTCCAGAAAAATATATGAAAATGTTACATTGATAAGTGATAAGATGTAGCATCGTCAATTAACTAGATTTTTAAACTAACCGATCACAAAATGTCTACTGATGTGAATGATTGGGATTGTATAGTATTTGGTAAATGTCATCACAAATTAAAAAGCATAAACTAGCATCATGGTTGGAATGAATGACCACTAACCCACACATGGAGAAGTGAGAGATGTTTGGTACATCCAAAATGGATCAAAATATCATGACTTTACCTTTCTACAAGTATGGGTTACTGTTCAATTACAGTACTCTTATAATTTTTGCCTTGGATAATTAGTATTCTATTTCCTTAGACAAATGTTATAGCTTATACTTCTGCTTTTAGTAACTTACAGGTTGATGATCAAACCACACATCAGAAAATGGAGAAACAACAACCGTCCTGAACCATCATCAAGTCATGTGAGGCTCTCACATGACTTGATAATGATCCAGGACGGACCGAAATATCGTCGTTTTCTCCATTTTCTGATGTGTGGTTTGATCATCATATCTTCAGCCACGTTATTGTAACTCATCGTTTAACACACAGGTTGATTAATAAAGGAGAACAATACCATATTCCATATATTTATATTATAGTAAATTTGCACTGATACCTAATTAAACTGCACTGCTGTTCCACATGTATTATCTGGATGTTAATTGTTCTAGTAAAAAATTACTTTCTCTCAGAAATTACATAATCTTATGAAAGGTGACATGCATAGAAGTGATAAAAAACTAGGTCCTAAAATTTACTTTAGACTAACTCTAAAATCATACTTATTACACATCTATCAGTGTAAAAATATGTGCACAATATAATATATACCAAATATATAATATATACTGTATATATATTATACAGTATGTATATGATATTAGCCACAAATGCTAATAATTAGGCTAAGTAAGTAAAGACTGTTTTGCCTAACAGCCAGAGTGATTTTGTATATTTTCAAATATTTCTATCATATTAATTGGCCCTTGATGTACTGTATATCATAGATATATCTTATTGTAGCTTCATTGTGCATGTAATATTGACTACATGAATAACTTACTTAGGTCTAGTTTTATATATATGTTGGGCAGAATTAATAGCAGTAAGAGGTCAGGTAGTTAAATTAGTTTTTGTTCTTTATTTAAAAAAAAATGTCTTGTTCTATCTATCAATCTACAAGTTTAAATTTTAGTGGAAATTATTATATTTATATTTACACAGAACAATACCCTAAGAGAATGAATTATCGAGTAATAGGCACACATAAATAATAATAAATAATACAAAATTTACACCTTAATCCCATCTCCATTTGCAATTATCTCCCATATTCCAATCACCATATGCTATTATTTATTTTTTTTTATTTTTTAACTTTGGTTTAAATTTTTTTTGTCATGTGCACTACAATGTAGGACTTTTAAATAGCTGAACCATCTATGAAAATCGTTTCATATCCATTTACAAAATCTAAAAAATTGCAATGGAAAAGTTGAGACTGAGATCGTTATTTTGCTCACTGACTAAACAAATTCATAACACCATATATTATGTATGTTCTTACAATGCATAAAATTGATGAACGTATCAGCTATTGAATTGTATATTTTATATTACAATGTATGTATATCGGTATCTATACAAACCTTAAGAATTAAATTGCTATACTGTACAGTACGTCATTAATTTTTACAAGCATATCAGGTTTTTATTTGCAAGAATAACTAAGTTACTAAAATGTTTATAATCAAAATGTTATTTAATAGTCATACTCCTATCCATAAAATTCAGCACGGTGAATGGCCTCACGACACTTCAGTGCAGCTATACACAACTCTCTCTCTGGAGTGCTGCTAAGCGGCGTACATCCACTTTGACGGCATCATCCGATGTGCTAGTTGACAGGGGACGTGGCTCACTTATATCACCATTGCTGATACGGTAATCTGAAATTTGAAAGGTAGGTTAATTATTTAAAAAGTTGTCATTAAAATCAATTGTTAAATACAAAATATAATTTTCAGTTTGGCCACTCTGTAGCTTCTTGAACTGTAACTGGACTGCCATGCCTAAGGACTCACCCAAGGCCTCTTAGGCTAATTGCAGCCAGAACCAAAATCTAACTCTCTATGAGAAAGTATAAGTGCATCAAAACAAGAAATGACTTGAAGAAAATTAACAGCTCTGAGGAGACCAAATCAAACAATCATTGCTTTAGGGGTAATCATCCCATTGTAATGCAGCTGGCTGCCACTAGTTGGCAATACAGACCAAAGAGGGTCTACATCAGCGAGTCACATGCCTCATGCAGCCAGGCTCACACCTCTGATGGGTCTGCATTCAGCTTTTAATTTTCAGAAAAGTGGTGTCGTTTATCTTTGGGAAGATTAATTCTGAGCTGGGCCATTATATTGTTTTCTGAGAAACCCTCCAGTGGCTCACTGAAGCTATCTTGCTGAAATTGCTCCATAAAAATGAGTCACCTCAGCTGCAGAAGTGGTTTGCCCTACTGGAGGGACCAGAGCCAGAATCTGGCTCCCTGCATTCTTCAGACACCCGGCATCAAATGTAACGAAATGCCCGTTTCCCTCCTTCCCTTCCAGGTTCATTGGTAAGTTGTTCATCAGCTCCAGAACTGAATAGGTCAGTCAGCTGAGGACACTAAGTTTTCAACTAGTTTGAATGATTCTCTTATTTCATGTGAATTATTTGTAGAGTTGTTTGGCAGTTTCAAAGCTTTGTTTTCTTTGAACCTTCCAGTTGTCTGTATAGCTTCGCTGACTTTTTGAATACTTTCCCGGTGAGGTGGTCAATTACCACTCCCTGCACCTCTGTGAGGAGAAACAAAGTTCTGGCTGGTAAGCCAAACATAACTTCCACGACTGATGCAACTCATTAGCATGGAGCAAACTCAGCAAGATAGCTTCAGAGAGCCACTGGGCTCTACCAGAAAGAGCATTTCATTACATTCAATGCTGTTTTTGTTCTATTTCTGTGTCATATTTGTCTTATGCAATCGGTCTGTGTTTATATTTTGCACTGGCTGTGTTTGTGGGTTTGCTTTCCTAGTAACTGACTTGTTACCAGGAATTCATGTTTCCTGTGAAATAATTTATCTTACATCATCTTCGAGAGTAGTGCATAGGTTTGATCCCCCACTATGATGTATTCTTGTGTAAATGTTGCTTTGGGCTCTGTTCCCTGTATTCACCTAGTTGTGCTTATGGGGGTTGAGCTGTGCTTTTTCGACCTACCTCTTAACTGTCAATCAACTGTTACTAACTACCAATTTTTTTTCCTCCCGCACACCAAGGCCTGGGCTGGGCCTTGCACATATGTGGAAGCTGGTCAGAATTGCATTTCACCTTTGTGAAATTAATGACACTATTTAAAAGACACATCAAACACTTTATGTAGGGCAGACGTAAATCTGTGTATCTATGTATTTTATGTCTGTAGGTTAGATTGGCATTTTAAAAGCACTATAATCACCTTCTGTGGTTGAATGTTCAATAAATCCCTGGACTATATGTTTAACAGATTTCTCACCCTGTCCATGGAGGACAGAAGAAAATGTATATATGCTGATTAGCACTGTAAATGTGTGGCCACGTCTGTGGTAGAAAATAATAAAAAAAAAACTATCCGAGGGAAAAGGATTGGGGGGGGGGGAGTCTGATCATCTACAAGGTGGTTCAGGCAGTCAGTATCCCTTACCCCAATGGGAAGGTGGGAATAAAGTGTCAGTACACAGTCATGCAGGTTATTTTGACTTCCACACCTACCACTATGAATGACCCTGCTGGGTGCAGTTTTTCTGGGTACATTTCAATGAATTTGACACACACACACACAATGTGTAGATATGATAGAGCCCAGTAGGCTCAGGAATCAGTGCACCAGTTGATTGACAGTTGAGAGGCGGGACCAAAGAGCCAAAGCTCAACCCCCACAAGCACAATTAGGTGAGTACACACACACACATCAAAGGGTACTCACCTATTTGTGCTTGCAGGGGTTGAGCTCTGGCTCTTTGATCCCGCCTCTCAACTGTCAATCAACTGGTGTACAGGTTCCTGAGCCTACTGGGCTCTATCATATCTACATTTGAAACTGTGTATGGAGTCAGCCTCCACCACATCACTTCCTAATGCATTCCATTTGTCAACTACTGACACTAAAAAAAAAATTCTAATGTCTCTGTGGCTCATTTTGGCACTCGGTTTCCACCTGTGTCCCTCCAAAAAAGGAAAATATTATGATTTAAGCTACTGCACACATCAGAGGGGTGGGTGTTTGTGTGTGTGTACTCACCTAATTGTACTCACAATTAGGTGAGTACACACACACACACCCAGCCACCCTCTGATGTGTGCAGTAGCTTAAATCATAATAATATTTTCCTACTAATTACAAAACAATAATCAGTCGTTTAAAGACTGACAAGGCTTGCATTTTACAAAGCCTTCACAAGTTTTATATTTGTACCAAATAAAATGCGATAATTTTTCCCATAGCTTTTTGAGTTTCATAGCCAGCCATTAACATTACATGCAGCACTTCTTAACCTCACTGCTCTATGCTGGTTGCCACAGTATAAACAACCTTCATTCAACATTCTCTCTGGTTACATCACACACATTTTGGCCCAAATTTACTCACCAGGTTTGGTGAACTGTTGTACAGCAAAGCAAGATGCGCATGAATTTGCAAAGCAAGCAGGCCACAGTCTACTAGTTTATTACACCAAATAAAACATTTGTAAACAGAGTGAAAAAATATTAAGAATTATTCTAATATCTTTATACCAGATTTTTTTTATATAAATAATGTGATGTACAGTACTGGCAAAACTTTTTTTTTTTGCCCCTGAAGCATTGGTTTATACTTCAGCCTCAGGCTAAGTTATGTGTATACCCTGTAATACTGTTTTTTTCTCCTTATGTTCACAGAGAAACACCAAGTCACAGCCAACTAGGAATTCAGCTGAGGATGGTCAGTAGGGATTTAGTACTGTATGAGAAGGATAGGTGAGGACATGTGTTGCTTACTGTGGTATTACAAACTGCATTACCAAACATGTTACTCCCCACTCCCACACTCTGGTCTGTAATGATAAAGCCAGATGCAGGCTTGCTCTGTTTAGCTTGCAGCATGCTTTTCTTGCTGACCTGATTTGCAAGCCAACCATGTTGCATGCCTATATGCTTACCTTCTTACATGCTATATGTCTAAATGCTTACCTTCTTACATGCTATATATCTATCTGCTTGCATGCTGCAATGCCTGTTGTTTATGTAGCTTGGTTCATGTGATAGTCAATAAAACCTTTTGAGTTAATAATGTAATCAGTATTCCCGATTAGCATGTTCAAGCAAGACACTCCTTTGTCAAGTCAAAATATGATACAGTACTCTACACAGTGGAATAGTATTTGATATTATAACAAAAACAATGTACATAATTTGTTATATGCTCTATCACTTAAAAAAAATGCAGCTTGCTGAGTCTGGCAAGCTGGGGAAAGAATCAAAACCCCCAGCAGGTTTCTTTTTAGACGAGTTATTTTGATCTTAGGATGTAGATTGCACAGGTTAACCACATAGTGGTCTGTTTTGATTTGCCTACCTTTTTGGGTCCTTTCCTGGTCAATTGACCAGGAAATTGCCATTGACCTTTCCTGGTCAATGGCAATTATGACATACTTTAAATGTAAAGTGCTCATAGGCCATAACTCCCTGCACCCCTCTGAAGGGGGCTAGGTTCTGGCTCGTGGTCCCCGGTAGGCATAAGAACTCCTGTGACTGATGACCCCTCAAACTAATATAGCACATATCAGTTTGGATAGCTTCAGGGAGCTGATGGGGCTCTCCACAGATGAAAGGTAATATTACAAGATGCATTTTCTAAGAATTATAGGAGCAACTTGCGTGTATCTAGCAACTTGTCACTGCACGTACAGTATTAATTTATTAAATTTACCCATTTAATTTTACTATTCATAGTCTTGCAAAATATATTTCAAAACTATATAATACAAAAAATTAGGGTGTAGCAACACTAAAAAACATACAGTATATATATTTAATGTAGAAATTTAAAATTTATTGACTTAATACTATTAGTGTACCTTAAATATTATTTTACCAATTTTGAGGTGCTAAAAATGCACATTTAAGTGTCACTTTAACACTAAACAATATGAAAAAATACAGTATGGTGCATTTATTTATCAGTTTAATAAAGAATGCACTAAAGAATGTAATTTACTGTATCATACACAAATCACAATGTGCCTTATGTACTGGTAACAAATAACTAATAATATACCCAGGTAAGCTAACTAATAATATACCGGGGTAAGTTGACTAATAATATACTGGGGTAAGTTGACTAATAATATACCAGGGTAAGTTGACTACTAATATATGTACCAGGGAAAGCTGACTAATTTATTACATCCAAAACAACAGGTGGGCACAGTAAGTGGGCTACAGAAATGAATTAACCAAAATCCTTACCCTTTCGTGCCGACTTCTTCTGTTTGCCAGCTGTGGGGAAGGATAAGCATGAGAATAAAGCTGTTGGGTAAGCATAAGCACAAGACCCCTAACTGTGGGGTAGGATAAGTATGAGACAATAGCTTTGGGGTAGGATAAGCTTGATGTCATATGTAGTTCCTATTCAGACGACTCAATGTGTTTTGTAATTTTACTTTTTTGCACACTTTTAAAGACTTGTATGCTTTATGATGCCAATCAGTAGGTTTTCTTTTTCATCTACTTTACTACCTCCTTTTGGAATGGCATGATATTTGCTGTTTTAAGTTTGTTAGGGATAACACCCTATGTAGGCTCCATCTCCCAATGATGTTTCAGACCTTTATTAGTAGGTTTTGCAATTCTGGATGAATATAGAATTCCAAAAATCTGGGCCTGGTGGGCATACTGTTTATAATTACAGTACTGTATTTCAAAGTCCAGTAGGGTTAATGTGACATCAGATATATAATTTGATATTGGTGCCAGTCGTGCAGAAATCATTTGGATTATCGATCTTCAGTATTGTATGTTCAGGTGTTCTTTGAAAACAATCATAATGTAGCCTCAGAATTTCGCTCATTTCTTTGCTGCTATCTGTGAAAGTTCCATGTCCTTTGAGCAAGGGGCCCAATACTAGATGTAGTTTTTTATAAAGATTTTGCATTGGAGAAAAAATTATTTTAGGTTCCTTCTTATTCCACTCAAGGATTTTTTCTCCCTTTGCCTCTCCTGGATTTTGACACTTGTAACTTTAGTTCAAGCATTTCTATTTCTCGACGTAGCCTTCCCTGTCATTCTTGGAATAGAGTGGAGTGTTTGAGTCTCTTAAATTTGTCTTCACCCATAAAGAGAGTGCCGTTCTCATTCCAATATGCCTTTTTTTCTCTTTATTCTAAGTACTGTGCCTATTTTCTTGACACACTGAGTTATGGTAGCATTATCTAGCTGCTCTACCCAACTTATTCTTGTGAGGTCTTGGTTTACTAGCTCATAGTTAATCAGTTTATTATTACAATTTAATTTCTTGAATTTGCCTTCTATTGGATGTGAGACTGGCTGTGCTGGTCCATTACCCATGCTTGTGAGAAACCTCAGTTAGGTATTTAGAATTGAGAAACCTCAATTACTGTATTATGTTCTTAACCAAATCATCGTTTGCAACAATAAGATCTAAGAGTGCATTCATTTCTAGTTGGCTACACTATTTGCTGGGTTAAGGCAATTCTGTCACTCATATGTAGGTCATTTGTGCATGACAATTCATTTAGACTTTCCTGGGATTTTCTCCGATATAATAATATATGCCATATTTTTCCTTTTGTGTGCCGAAAGTTGAAGTCGCCAAACAAGAAAATGTTTGGGGGGTTGGATCTGAGGTTTTCTATGCAGTTTTCTATTGAATTAATTGGTCTTTAAACAGCTGAGAATTTGCATCTGGTGACTTATACACTAGAACAATAATCACACCTTTTATTTCTATTTTGATAACCAGCACTTTCACCTTGTCATTTGTGGTGTTTAGCAGTTCAGTGTAAATGAGTATGTCTTTGCTTTACAACCTGACCCCACCCAGTAATCTGTTTCCTGTCATATCTGAAAAGATTGTATTCTGATATCCTTTCTGTCACTGCCAAAGTAATCCTTTGTACAAGTTTCAGTTAAGGTTCTAAACATGGCATTTGCCTCATTTAGGATAAGCATAATGTCCAAGCTGTGGGGTAAGATAAGCATGACACCCCAGAATGGTGCCACCAGTGGGATAGGAGAAGCATGGGGCCACCAGTGGGATAGGAGAAGCATGGTGCCACCAGTGGGATAGGAGAAGCATGGGGCCACCAGTGGAATAGGAGAAGCATGGGGCCACCAGTGGGATAAGAGAAGCATGGGACCACCAGTGGGATAAGAGAAGCATGGTGTCACCAGTGGAATAGGAGAAGCATGGTGCCACCAGTGGGATAGGAGAAGCATGGTGCCACCAGTGGGATAGGAGAAGCATGGTGCCACCAGTGGGATAGGAGAAGCATGGTGCCACCAGTGGGATAGGAGAAGCATGGTGCCACCAGTGGGATAGGAGAAGCATGGTGCCACCAGTGGGATAGGAGAAGCATGGTGCCACCAGTGGGATAGGAGAAGCATGGGGCCACCAGTGGGATAAGAGAAGCATAGGGCCACCAGTGGGATAAGAGAAGCATGGGACCACCAGTGGGATAAGAGAAGCATGGGGCCACCAGTGGAATAGAAGCATGGTGCCACCAGTGGGATAAGAGAAGCATGGTGCCACCAGTGGGATAAGAGAAGCATGGTGCCACCAGTGGGATAAGAGAAGCATGGTGCCACCAGTGGGATAAGAGAAGCATGAGACCACCAGTGGGATAGGAGAAGCATGGGGCCACCAGTGGGATAAGAGAAGCATGGTGCCACCAGTGGGATAAGAGAAGCATGGGGCCACCAGTGGGATAGGAGAAGCATGGGGCCACCAGTGGGATAAGAGAAGCATGGGACCACCAGTGGGATAGGAGAAGCATGGGACCACCAGTGGGATAGGAGAAGCATGGTGCCACCAGTGGGATAAGAGAAGCATGGGGCCACCAGTGGGATAGGAGAAGCATGGGACCACCAGTGGGATAAGAGAAGCATGGGACCACCAGTGGGATAGGAGAAGCATGGGACCACCAGTGGGATTAGAGGGTTGTATGTGACCAAAAAAGAAGCTGTAGAGGTAGGATGCTTAAATGCAAATAATATTCATAACACACAACAAAACATAACTAATATAAAGTTAATGCTCATAAATCTATTTTTGCATGCATATATCAGCGAAATATGCAGGCAAAAAGCGAGCTCTACAGGTGCCACCAAAGCAAGATTGGCTGAAATACCTGTTGTATCTGAAAACAAATTGATCCTGTAAATTTAAGAGAATTTTTTTTATTCTCTTGTCACCAATATTAGTTCTGATCTTACAATGCTTATGTAGTGGATGTTGATGGTACTGTGTTGCCTAAGGTGGAGATTGAAGCTAATATTCACCCCTCAGATATTCCACCTATAACTGGTTGTCATGAGCCAGTTACAGGTAGATCAACGTGACCATTGTTGGAAGCCCTCAAGTCAAACTAGAAGTTGTTTTGTGCCCTGTGTTCTCGTGTGCAAAAAACTTCATGTACATATTGTACATTTCTACCTTCATCTGAGCACCAAAGGCATTTTTACCTGATTCCATGTACAGTGACTTTGAATGGCTTCAAAATGGTTCTGAATTTCCTCTATACTTTTTTTTTTCCCCGTCATCCTCCTCCTCCTCTTGCTTATTAACTGTCATTAAATCTATAATTTTTGCAGCAATCAGATTTTGAGAAGGAATATCACAGCCTATCTACCTATCTATTTCAGCTGTAATTGTTTTCATCACCAGCTCAGCTTTTAGTTCTGAGCTGGTGATGTAAACACTTGTACTGTATCATTGGTGATGTAAACACTTGTACTGTATCATTGGTGATGTAAACAAAATTGAGTCGATGACATAAGTAAAGAATTTCTCCCTTAATTTTTGTTTCTCACTATATCTCAAATCCTTTAAAATCTACTTTATCCTCTTCCAGAAACAACCCAGGGGCAGGCTAAAGTTTTCTCCAGCTATTTCTCAGTTACCCCTTGGGTTTCTGCTTGAAACTACCAGAAGGATCACTTTCACATCTATGAGCTATAGTGTCTTGAGTTTAACACAAGCCAGTACAAACTTATCATTATAAATTTGCTCAAATGATATACTCATGTTGCACTATCTCCACTAGTAGCATCAACTGACAGTCTTTCTCCACCTATCCTAATATATCTATTACCAAAATAGATATAGGGATGATGACATTTTGTCCCTTCACTTTCTAGTGTGTGGTTTGGTCAACATTGTATTTATAGGCAAGTTGTACCTGGAAAACATGTTATCTGTATAAAGATATATTTGTGCATAAAGAGATAATTTTTCAGTGGGAATGCATGAGATACACTTGTCTAGAGAAACTTTTTCAGTCTTGTAGAAACTACATCTTGCTAATTGAAAAAATAAAAATAAACTTACCTTCTACAGTATTCATGCAGTGAGATAAAATGGATACAGATGAACAACCTGTCTCATACACCCATCTCTAAGGACAGACTAAAAACCGACCAAAGAGCCAGAGCTCAACTCCCGCAAGCACAATTAGGCACGTACAGTCCAGTACCAAGAGTAACAGCTGTGCATAAAATCGGGTATGAAAATAGGAATAAAATCAAATGAGAAACAGAAACAAGATACTGTACCACACATCAAGTGAAACAGTAGTACTGAAACAACAGACTGCCAAGGAGATGCAGAGAGAGAGAGTGAGAAACGGTATGAACACGTGTCACAGCCCAGCTACTACAAAACTCTAAAATATATAAAAACACTGTACTGTACTGTACAGTACTGTGCTAAGGGAAATTAAGTAAGCTATTCTATATCTAGAATGCATGGGATGGAGGCATTTCCAAATACTGTACAGGAAAATTTTAAATCCTTAAGAATATTCCAAACCCATCATTATTTTCACCAAAATATGGCTACATTTATAGTATCAACCATATTGTAAATAAGATGACATACAAAATTATCAGAATGGGAAAGTACTACAGCTAGTACTGCATTTAGTAACACTTCATTTGCAAATGAAGAGCATTTATATTTAGTACAGTACAACCTTGGTTCAATGAACTATATGGGATCAACCCCCAATTTGTTGCAACTGGAGATGCCTCCAGGATGAATTCATTTCCCATGCCCTGCAAGCTAATTTCACTTAGCAAAGTTTTAATTTCAACCTATAATAGACAATTAACAAATAACTATTTGGTAACCTAAGTGATAAGTGGTAACCAACAAATAACCTGAGTGAACAAAAACTTTGCAAACTCAAAATGAACACAAACCATAGAATTTGGTTTTAAATATCCTTAATAGCTTTCCCAAAGATTTAAATATTTCTTGAAATACTGCATCACTACAAAATTCATCAAAAACATGATTGGGATCATATTAAGTGTTACCATTTATATCCAAATATTTCCCATGCTTAATGAAAATCCAATTTAGCAAAAGGACTGTTAAGACATCTACATCTCAAAACTTAAGGAAGTTAAATTGCCCACACCCTGCAACATAGCCAATCAACAGCCTATTTTTAATTGTTCATAGGCAGTCGCCTGAAACACCTAACCGCAAGAACATCTGCATGTGTGAGGACGTGGCCCTGAGCAAACACCAGATTCAAGGAAAAATCACTAGGAGCTTGACACACAATACCAAGATATTTTAACCACCACTGTTCTGCATTAAAATGCAACACACCTGGTGGACCAAACTCTCACAAGTCAAGCCTGGCCTCGGGCCGAGCTTGGGGAGTAGAAGAACTCCCAGAACCCCATCAAGCAGGTATATGTGGGCCTGCGGGCCGCTCCAAGCAACAGCCTGGTGGACCAAACTCTCACAAGTCAAGCCTGGCCTCGGGCCGGGCTTGGGGAGTAGAAGAACTCCCAGAACCCCATCAACCAGGTATCACACCCATGGTGCGCCAAAAATAAATTCTTTCCAAAAAATCACTTTCTCTTCTTATATTGTTAAAATGCAGTCTCTGATCACGAAAAACTAAAAAAAAATATTGTATGTGACATACTTTAGCCGCGATGGAGCTGGGACGTTGAGCATATTATAGGCGTTGAATGATGGAGCGTTCAAGGACACTAGGCCCTGCCACCCCGTGGGGCGGCAGTTGCAGCGAATATATTTCACAATTATTTTGATGTTTCTCATTCGTTTCTTCTCTGGTTTTATCTGTAATATTATTCAAAAGTATGTATTCTGTGGAATTAATGTATTTCAATGTGTGGAACATCACTATGCTCAAAATTATGGGGCTCATATATGTGACATGTATATTATATTCTACAATCAATCAAACAGTGTTTTTGCTGTTATTACACTATATACACACATTGTATTTACCTATCTACATATGTGTTCACCATAACAAACCACTAAGTTGGTATAGTAAGCCCAAAAAACAAGAGCTGGCTGCCACACCCAGGCAGCTCTCCCTCACACCTTCAACACCTAACTTGCCAACATTACTCCTCCCACAATACTGTTTGTGGTGTTATTACACTATATACACACATTATATTTAACTATCTACATGTTTTATTCACCATAACTGTAAAACTAAGCTGGTATAGTGTCCGAACAACATGATGGCCACTGCATGACAAGTCACACAGCAGACACAACCTCACTCACTCCCTCACCTAAATGGCTCCTCCCAACATAAGCCTTTTGCTGTTATTACATACTATACACATGTTATAGTATATAAGTATCTACATTTGTTCACCATAGCAAACCACTAAGCTGGTATGATGATTCCAGACAATAACATGTTGCCATACACACCAGCCATCATCTGATGCCACCTCTCCCTCCCTCCCTCACAACAGTATTCCTCCCACCACTAATTCAAGTCAGACTCTTCTGTAATACTATCATGGCTAAATAATATCAGATACATATATATACAGGTAAGTATTTGGACAAATTTAGGCGATGCGGTAGTCAAAAGCTGAACAGCAATGCTGTGAGCTCATGCTGCATACACCAGCCTTGGTTGCTCACTCAGTACTGAGGCCTTCACACCCGGGAATGTTGCCCACAATTTTTTTTTAAAATGGCGTCTGTTTAGGCGAGCCCTGGGGAAGCTGACGTAAACCTTGTGTAGCTGCGGGAGTTTTGAATGATATGCTATACCTATGAGAGCCCGAGGTGCGTTGTGCAGTGCAGTGACTAATGCCAAGCCAGACACTATACAAATAGGGAAGATACATAAATGGGGAGCTTGATAAACACATTTCTCATTGTAAATATTTTAAAATGTTGAAAATGCACACTTTCAAAAGAACATAATTTATTAATTTAGTCTAGTGGATTTATCACCACGGAAAACAAACCATAACAGAAGCAATGTACTGTACAGTACTTACAACAATGAAAGATAATAAACATAACAAGGTATGATGATGATCAAACCACACATTAGAAAATGGAAATGTGTGGTTTCATCATCGTATCTTCAGCCACGTCATTGTCACTCATCTTCTGCATAACGTAAAGTAGCATTTAGACTCACCTGTCATGAGTCTCTGAGTTTCTTTAGGATCTTCTACTGCAGCTGCATTGTTTTGCTTCTCTGTAGACTCTCGCACAGGTGATCCTGGTGTTCCCTGTCAAAAGATACACAGTGATAATACTAAATTCCAGGCCAAAGTCAACAACAACAAAATTACTGTAGTGTTAGTGTTGTTTGTAATACTGTCTCCAAATCTTTTGGAACCATATCCACTTGCATATATGAAATTAATCTGGGTTCTATATATTTAAATTAACCAGATCAAAGATTCACCATTGCAATGTAATTTCATCTGTCAAACTGCCTAGCTTGAGGATGGGGGGTGTTTGTATAATGAATGTATTTCTCATGTTATATTCTCTATTTACTATTCAAAGGGTTGTATTCATAATGAGTCTACTGGAATTGTTAAGTGTGGTAAACTAATATAGAGGGTCAGACAAACCCGAGTGTAAATGTTGGTGCATTTGTAAGTCAAATAATTTTTTCCATGATGCTGAGAAGTCTATGACATAACAATCTATTTAGAGGTCAGTTGTAGTCTAGGCTACTAAATGGAGTTTAGACAAACCTGATTTGTCCAAAACTGGCATCCAATGAGGCAAATATTTGTGTTTTGGATGTTATATTAGTTCACATTTGTTTTCTGGGGGAGTCCCATGGTGGGTCCCTGTGCTCCAAACTACTAGTTACATCAGTTGCAGGAGTTCATTTGGCTTATTGGGCACCAGAGCAAAAACCTGCCCCCCCCCCCCTCATGAGGCACATGGAGCAAATAACTTTCCACAATTTAAATGAGAAAGCATCAAAAAGGCCACAGATCATAACTCTTGTGCCTTAATTCTAATAAAGAACATAACCATTAAGGAAACTGCAGAAAGTCTATTAGCCCATACAAGGTCATCATATGCTGTACATAATTGATCTCAATAACCTCAATTTTTTCTTTTTACCTCACCATTCATGATATGGAACCATGTGCACTCATTCACCATCCAAATGGTATGAAACACATATACCAAGAGAAAATATTGAAGCCATACCAATGGAATCAAACCAGCATTCCTGAACTCCTCATAGATATACTGTACCCCATTCCACGTTTTTATTATGTATATGAAATAAGTTTCATAATTCCTCTGACAATACAGTAGATTAATTCATCCCAAATTTACTTATGAAATCTGTAATTAAAATAATAATAATAAATATTTTCTAACCTTGGGTGGCTGTTTGGCACAGCTGACAGCAAAGAGGACCATAGCTCCAATGATAGGAGGAATACCAGCGCAGAGAAATGGTATCAAGTAACTATGCAGATGATCATACAGAGCACCTGTGGAAACAGGATGTCATTAGCTACACAAATATGAGACTTTTATATTTGTTTAATACAGGCCCAAGAATGTACAGATCATAACAACTGCAATCTTTTTTGTCACTACAATTCTATATTAGTTTATCTATACACTGCCATTTTACATCTTTAATTAATACATGTAACATACAATATACAATTTTGAGTCATGAGATATATGCAACAGAAACATATAGCTTAAAATACAAATGATTAAAATGGCATCTAGCCAAAGGGTTAAGCAGCTCTATCCTATATTCACAACACTGAGAAATGTTCATGGAACTTTCCCACCATTACTATGTTATGGGGATACAAAATTAAATATAAAACTCACCAGCAATAGCTGGACCACAGGTGAGTGGTATGGAGCACATGGCTAGGAGACATCCAATTGCTTGTGAGGCTCCTACAGGTCCAACAATATCAAAGGCAATGGGTCCAAGAAGGGAAATGAAGCAGCCATCAAATAGTCCCATGCCCAAAGCAATTACAATGAAGAAGGGCATGGCATTTGAGGCAGTCAGCAGCATGGTCAAGGTACCAATACAGAAGAACGAGATCTAAAACAAATACATTGTGATAAAATCAATCCTGATAAATACATTGTGATAAAATCAATCCTGATAAATATTTAAACTAATCTACACAGTCAGTATAAGTATTACGTATCGCTAGTGCCGATATACTCTTAATCTACAGTACTCTATTCACATACTACATCTTTATACTGTCAACTGCCTCAATTATGCTGGAATAGAATGATAGAAAATTTGTCAAACATGAGCAACTTATTAAAACCATGTTGTGAATCATTTATTAATTTGTTTTTCAAGATGAAGACAAGTGGCTTTTGCAACTATCAATTTGAGCAAATTTTCCACAGTAGACGATAGGCTAATTGCCCTATAGTTCGACACAAGTGATCTACTATTTGCTTTCTTAAAATTTAAACATAAGAATCACAGAAACTGCAGAAGGGCTATTGACCCATATGTGGCAGCTCTATTTATATCCACCCACATTCATTCATAAATCTCTAAACTAAGCTTGAAGCAATCGAGGGAACATATGTATATTGTGTTATGCGGTGATTGGTTCCACAAAGTTGTTGGCTTTGTGGAACCAATCACCGCTTAACATAATATACATAGGTTTTCTCGAATGGTTCCACAAAGGTTCCAAGCCAAAGCCTTCCTGTAAGATTTCCTCCTCACCTCTCTTTCTTGCATTATTTAATGCCTGTGCCTCCCTCGTTTCATCCTCCACTTACTGACTATTCACATCGTGCCACCTTTTGGATGGCTTAATCTTTACCAATTAATCAATCTTGTCTCATTACAACTGCCTTGATAATGGTCCAGGACAGACCGAAACCTCATCAAAAGCCATGTTATTGTGACTCATCATCTGCATACACATACTACATCTATATCACTGGTACCTATATACTGTAATAATCTATTTATGTACTATTTTCACTGGAACCTATATACTGTATTAATCTATATATGTACTGTACTTTATCTGTACCACTGATAAATAACTGAGAGGTGTATAATTAATCACTTGATTAACTATGTTTCCAACAGCAAAAAACTAGCACTGAATGCAATGAAACACCAATTTCTGGGAGCCTTGGTGGCTCCCTGAAGCTACTATACTGACAGACTACAAGGTGCCATCAATTGCACAGGTCTATTTAGCCTATCATGGTGAACCAAAACCTGGCCCTCTTAGCAGCAGGGGAATAGGTAAACCCAACAACCTGCAACAAAAGACTCTCCACAGATGGCACCAGAGTCCACAAAGGGTCAAATGGAACCTTGCAAAGGCCCAACTCTGACTTCCCCAAGCCACAAGAACCTTAGAAGTGTTCTTAGAAGAACATTAGTAGGTTCTTAGAAGAACCTACTCTACCCAGAGTAGAGCCAATGTTCACGGCCACAGCCCAGGAAAGAAAAGCAGAATCCAAGGGAGAGGCCTCAGAAGAGGGGGGCCGGCTGGAAAAGAACTAAAAGCCTTGGCAGGATCAACTGCCTCCGCACCCAAGTTGAAATGGTCAAACCCCGGATCCGCCCAAGCCACATCCCGAGATAAACCCTGCCCCAACTCTGAAACCCTCAGATGCATCATGGCTGGAAGCAGGGGAGCGAGAAGGGCGGCCCATGCCTGCCATGGAAGGAAGAGGAGGTGCAGACAGAACCATGGTCGAGTTAACCAACACCAAACCAGGGTTCCTAAAGACTATGTGGAACAAGTCCAGGGCATCCATCTAGACACACATACTAAATCTCTGTAACACACACAAAACAGTCACTGGCAGATACCCTTGGACATCATTAGGAGGGTGGGTAAGGAGAGCTATGCGTGGGGAAAGATAATATATATGTACAGTGCTGACCTGAGATTCCATTTATGTGGTATGGTAGCCACTACAGTATCTTTATGTTTACACTCACAAATTTATATGACTCAGAAATTAAGAACAGATATTTAGTTAAAAATAAAGATATGCACTGTTGTGCTCATCACATTGCTCACCTGCTGTAAGATAATTCGATTAACCCATGGCCGATCTGCAATCAAACCAAAGAAGATGCGACCAAGTCCAGACGTAATACCCATACACTGGACTAGCAGCTGAGAGTTTACATCATCACCGAGCACGTACTTCACATATTTTACCTGGAAAAATACTAATTATGTAAAAAAGTACATCAAACAAAAATCTATAATACAGAACTTGTTAATCTAAGTAAAGTGTCATATTCTTTCATAATAAATGTTCTGCGAGTCACAATATTAATATACAGCTAAATTTTGCACTGAGAAGTTTTGTTTGAATTTATTATTTTATAAAAATCTTTCATATAAATAGTTCAGTACAGTATATTAAGTGTCTAAATGTAAGGAAGCTGAAGACAGTGGAAAAATGTGAAAAAATTAAAGAAAGATTAGGTAAAATATCAGACAATATGAGAGGGAAATGACAGAATGTGAGTGCAAGAATCAAGCCGTAAATGTGCACAAGAAAGAATCACTACTGTGACTCAACAACAAACCCGGATGTGAGAACTGAACACTGTACATGCAAGTTAGGGCCAGGCACAACACATGGCTAACTTCAGTACATATATGGCTAACTACAGTACATATATGCCCAATCAACAGGCCTTGCATTTGGACCAAGCCCCAAGTAATATCCAGAGGATGACTTGAAAAGAACCAAATCATAAAGGAGAAACATTTGAGAAGATAACATGTGGAGGAAGGCAAATGCAAAACAGCAGCAAGTGGAATTTCAAGTAAGGATTTGGTGTGACAAGCATTTAATAGTTATATTAACATGTTTAAACAATATGACTTGCAGTTCAAGGCTTAGCCACTCAATGTACTGTACTGGTTTAGCATTGTATCAGATAATCAAGATTTTATTGTACGGTACTTGACAAGATCCTGAAACATTAAAAAATTTTATAGCATGAATTATGAAGATAAAGTATACCAGAAGAAATCCTTACCAAGTGAACATAGGGAACGAAGTAGCCAAACAAAGCTGATGGAATTGCCAAAGTCCATATAACATATCGCTTATTTTTCCAAATGTCAAAATTTATAATACGCGACCAGAAGCTCTTGCAGTGTCCTTTGCATGTGTTTTCATACTTAGGTCTTGTCTGAGGTAGGATGGGCATCAGAGGCTTGAACACCAAGGCAGCCAGCTGCAGAAACAGAGAACATGTGACAAGTATTAGTTTCTTGATTTCTAACCTAATTGTTCAGATTTGTAACTATTGTATATCTTTACTGTTTGTTCACTCTGGAAATTGGGCACTCTTATGTAAAATTTTGTTTTATTTATACATACCTACGTACATATATATAAATTATGTATTTTTCCATATGAGAATGCATATGCATCAATAATTATATTGATGCATATGCATCACCTGACATCAATAATTTCTGTATATTTCAACATTGTTACAGATTTTAATATCTCAACAAAAATTAAATCTTGACATGTTGCCACTAGCTCAACAAAACCCCAAATGTAAATGTGTTGCCATCTTTTATTATCAGAATGTGTGTAGGACAGGTAGTCATCACCATGCCCGAAACTCTATGCGTGCTAGTGGCTGTACAAGAATGTAAGTACTCTTGTATATATATATTCCATTCCATTATATTTCTTGTATATATAAATAAAATAAATATAAATAAATCTTCCATTTCTAAAGTATTATCAGTTCAACTTCATTAAGTCTGTTCCTAAGATTTTCCAGGTCATAATGATTAAGACATCAACACAACAAAGCCATTTCACAATGTTGGAGACAATGGCAGAGAACGGTTCTGCTTAGATGGATTCCATGAATAAATTAGCAAGCCCAGCACTAATGGGAAATCAAACTTCACACCAAATTGTGAAATGGGTTTATACCCGTCTTACATAGACCCAAGATCCAAGGCGGCTTCTGCTTGTCATGAGGAGAAACTTGGGAATATGTACTACCAACCCAATCTCCACACCTCTTTATCACCGGGAAGGGCAATGTTTGCATCACAATGGTTGACAACTGAACTTTGTGCAGTGGGTCTAACAAAAATATTAAAATTATAAACTTCAGATTTACTATTTTCTGTTAGTAAACAAAAATAAAACACACTTACCATGAGGAAAGCATTCAGCCCAGCCAAAACCTGAAAGGTTGTTTGTAGGCCTATGTTGAGAATATATGGCAGGATGAAAGGTAAAGCAATCGTGAAGACTGAAGAACCAGCTGTTACAAAACCATTCACAATGCCCATCCAACGTTGAAAATAATGTCCCAAGATGACCAGCGAGGGAGTATATGCTAGTGATGCTCCACCACCAAACATTAAACCATAGGTGATCATGAGCACTTCAACCTGAAATAATGCATTAGAATAAAATGTTTTAAACCAACCTCCAGTAATTTCAACACACAAACATACATCTTGTCTACAGGAAAAATGAGATAAAATTATAAGCAAGGGAAAGTTACTGGAGAGTTCTCACAAGTACAGTACATATATCAGTCCAGGTCTTGTAATTACACTTAGATAATTTCACTTACACAAACATGCAAAAGAAATTTTTCTTTTGTAAACAGAATGGTTAGAACAAGCTAAGTGAGAAGGTGGTGGAGGTCAAAACTGTCACTAGTTTCAAAGTTTTATATGATAAAGAATACTGAGAAGATGGGACACCAACAGCGAAGATCTCATCCTGTAACTACACTTAGGTGATTACACACACACACACACATGTGTGTGTTTGAGTTCATAAGCATAAAGTTTTAAGCGTGTGTGAAATCACTTGGGTAATTACACACACATTCTTAGAAAGCAAAGGTACAGAAAAGATGTCCAAAGTTTTCTTTTGTGAACAGGGTTGTAGATGGTTGAAACAACTTAAGTGAGGTGGTGGATGCCAAAACCATCAGCCGTTTCAAAGAGCCATATAACAAAAACTATAAGAAAGACAGGATACCATAAGCATAGCTCTCATCCTGCAACTACACTTAGGAAATTATACAAGCTAACTACCAGCCTCCCACTCAACATGTCTTACTTAGCAACAGAAAAGTCCTAAAGCAATACCATGGAAAGGGTCAACACAAAATGAGTGTTCTCAAAGGAAAAACAGAACTCCTCAGAAGAAGTTAAATCTGGTTGGGGACTATCTTTGTTCACAGTGCTAAGAAAGGGGATCCTAAACCAAAATCGGTAGAAGTTTGACATTGCAGCAATGGTTGTCTGTGCAGCTGCAGTGTGTGCACATCATGCTAGATGATGGTACATCAGACATGGGAAGCATCCATTTACTAATTCTCAGAAAAGAAACTTGGGGCACTCGGATTTTTTCCAATATGGACAATGATTTCCATCTCTATCTAGGGATGGAATATGTAACCACATACTGTACTTGCCATGACGTATACACTTGGGATGGGTGTCGCCAAATGATTGCTGGGCTGTATTCAATGTGAGGGTTAAATAATAGCCATTGACTGTACTGTACTTGTTTGCCAAATAGATTGTAAGTATTGTATGAGATTTAGAGTTTTAGAGTTTTGATGCCATAGACATTATGCAGTTCAGTTTCTGAGGTAATATTTTTTAAATGCCCTGAATGAGCAAGTTTATGAAAGTTTCTGGGTGTAGTGTGAGAATTTTTTTCTTGGTACAGCACTTAGAACTTTTTATAATGATAATGAAGGTACGATAATGATCTGTGGTATTGTTGACATTACACCTTAAGGATTATAGGGGGCTGTTATTAGAACATATGAACATAAGAGTACAGGAAACTTCATATAGCCAATTGGCCAATGCGAGGCAGTTCCTACTTACACGAATACAACCATTGATTTGTTCCGCACAACCATGTTCCACAAATCGACAACCCTATTTCCAAGCTTGTAGATATTTATCTTTTTGTATAATCTAAACTTATTGGATCAGTATTCAGTGTTTCACAATCCACTTTATGTTGATATATTTAGTATTGTATTAATATCATTCCTTGTTACAACCTTTTGGCAATTTGCATACCGGTACTTCAATTACATATACAGTACTGTATTCCTCTTTACTCATCGCCTTTCTAGAAAATGTAATTTATTTAACCTATCCATATGGAAGATTTCTAATGATAAGGATTAACTGTGCCATCTTTTTCTGTATGCTTACTAGAATTTTATATCCATCCTATGGTAGTGTCCAAACTTAACTGGGGGTCTAGCAAAGGCAAGATAAAGCTGAGGAATAACATTAGCCGTTTTATTATAAGACCTCTTGATATGAATCTTGGTATCCTACTGGCCATATTTCAAACATTTTTACATTGATTACTGTACAGTATTTGGTTTTGATGACCCATATGAGGACAAGAGCTGAAGCAGATGTTGATTTCATGAATTTAGTAATTGAAAATACTGTACTGTACTACATTAGCATTCAGGAGTTCAAGCAGTTGAGGAAATAGCCGACATGAGTTTTATATTATTGTCAAAAGATTGATGCCACAGCCTCGATGAAAGGATTTTTGTCGAGCTTATTGTTTATGACCAGCATCCAGAGAGTATCCGGAAAATTTATTTAAAAATTGGTATTAATGATCCCATATTACATTTGTGTTCATTATCATAATTTAAGAAAAAGTAATGTGAATACGGGTAATTCAAGAAAAGCGTAAGTCAAACTAATCTATATTCTTGGGCATGATGAGGCCACAAGCACCAAGAATTAGTTTAATTAACAAATTTGTATATATAATGACATTTTATCTTCCTTTTAGGTTATATAAGCTAAACTAATGTCATAGTATTGTAAATTTTAGGAATTTATTTGTAGACCTCATTTTCTTTGGGTATTCTCCAGTGCCAATGTCAATTGATGTTAGTTCCTGTTTAAGCATTAATGCAAAATGGTGAGAAAAATACAAGCGCAGTACTGTATAGGAAAGAAAAATATAAATGTTGAATACAATACAGTACTCTAAATATATATACAGTATACAGAACCAATAAAGATGAGTGAGGCAAGTGGTATTATTAACAGTTGGAAATATAAAACATTATTATTAAAAAGTAAATCAGAGTTAATTAAATACAAGGTAATTATAGGATAATTATAGTGAGCATAGGTACAGTTTATAAATGTGTAAACAAATGCATGAGACAGGACAAGACTCAATAAAATCAAAGAATGAAATTTCAGCATGTATACAAAATTAAACAAATGTAATAAGTTAACTGTGTAAGCTAAATACTGTACCCAACAAGCTAAATTTGGTTATGAGGCACAATAAACAGACCACGTACTTTATCAGAGAAGAAGGAAGAGATGAACATGCCAGCAGTAGCTATGGCTCCACCGATAAAGGTGGTGAGACGAATACCCAAATTGTCTGTCAGCACTCCCGCCACTACCGATAACAGGAATGTTGACCCAATGGCCAACGATGTCATCATAGCTGCAAATATATTACAGCATGTACATACATAAATAAGCATACAGTACCTGTCTTTATTATCATAAAATAGCAGACCAGATCCCTATGCTTTTATCATGAAGTGCGCCAACTTCAACTGAAGCTCGCTAACATGAAATGATTATTTAGTGGATTACAATGGCATTATGAATACAAATGACACTTTTTTTATTTGCAGTACTGTATTCCCATTATCTACAATGCAACACATTTATTTTATCAATCATTAGTAGTGCCTACTATCTACATCACCAACATGAAACATTTATTATTCAAAGCCCAATTTCATTGCAAATGCAAAAAGTAACTCCAGCTCCTAGAAGACAAATAAAAATATTCTTGCAGTCTGTCTGAGCACGCAAACACCCTGTGCTATTTCAAAGCCCCTTTAAAAACGAAAACCCAGACTGCACCCATCCACACTCGACACTCAAACGAATCTTGTAGACCCGAATTGGCCAGGGAAGGAACACCACCTCGTTTCTAACATGCTGAATAAATCTAGGATAAGGCAAGACATACTGGGGAAAAACAAGCAGCTACAAAGGGAGCACTCAGAGAGGCACTTGAAAACACTACTCTTCATTTCTATGTAACCTATGCATAAAATCTCCTCCCTACTGCATAACACACTACATAAGCAGGAAAAAACATTGTGTGACATACTCAAGGAAATTTCACACAGTGGCAAATGTGGCCCATGGCTAAGCAAAGAATGAAAATACACCTTGAAGAGGTGGAAGGTCAAGGATACCATCGGGCTAGCAATTTGTATACCGTAAATCCAAAATCCCCGAGCCATAATATCACCCATAATCATGGGTGAAAAAATTATTATTAAAGATGCATATTTCCTGACATGTGCCTATAGGTAACCACAAGGACGACTGCTTAACTACCCATCTAATGATATGGGGAAAATCTAGCCTGTGAACTTGCCCACTGTTATAAGGTTCATTAATAAAAACTTGCCAGCAATGTCTGCCTGGCTTATGGAATGGTTGGGGTAGACATAGCTATTGGGACAAGTATATAAAGGAGTGGAAGTAACTTGAAGTGGAAGGAAGTGAGAAAGTGAAATCTGATTCTTTAATGTCCTTGAAGAGCCATGTACTGGAGATAGCAAGCAAGGCAGCTAAGAAATCTGCACACTAATGGACATTTCATACCTGCTAAATAATAGCAACTTAATGATTTTATAAGTACTACTATAGTACACATTCACTCACACCTTAAGTTTTCAGTGTGACTAGCCTGTGCAACATCCTTTCTCAAACATCTTGACACGATAAGAGAACCATGAAATGATGTGACAACGCATCTGGAGTCTCGACCCATCTTGGCTGCACCTATCATTTTCGAAGGCTTTCAGAATTTAGACATTGGTGGCCTTACAATTATGAACAAGGTAAATAAGCCAAATAAGCCAAATTTCATGGACAACCAGAATACAAAAACAAATTATTGGGTAACAAAACAGACATGGGGTCGCTTGATTGTTTCAAGCATAGGTTATACATTATGTGAATTGGTTTGGATGAATATAAATAGAAGTTGCCTCAATTGGAGCAGTTGGACTTCTGCAGTTCCCTTTATTCCTAGATTCTTAAGATGTTCAGACAGCAGCAATTCACAAAGGAGCCGAGAAATAACAACCAAGAAGCAATTCACTCTTGAGTTCAACGTTCTCAAGAACCCCAACACACTCCCATAGTGATCTTTTATTTCTAGGCTGACTGGCATTTGCATCATGTTTTCTCAACAAGCAGATACAACATCATGAAATCACGTCAACTGGCCCTATGAAAGCTCTGACCCACAGATAGCTTCAGCAAGCACTTTTATGAATGCAACCTTACATTAAATAAAGAATATATCTATGACAAAAATCATGTTAAACAAATCAGTTTCTTAGGCAACACATCATGTAGGATAAGTCTCAGTCTGTAGAAAAATACACGTAAGTGCGAATCTCATTGAACTACAGACTGTATATAAGAGGGAGGGAGGAGAAAGAGAGAGGGGGAGGAAAGGGAGAAGGGAGAAAGGGAGAAGGGAGAAAGGGAGAAGGGGAGAAAGAGAGAAGGGGAGGAAAGGGAGAAGGGGAGAAATAGAGGGGAAAAGGGTGAGTGTGTTAAGAGAAAGTGAGTATTTGGATGCTCCTGCCTCTAGGTCAGCTCCCACCGTCACCACACACATTATAATGTTAACACCCTCCTTGAATTGCCTCAATTTGATTCTTATTTACTCTGTCTGTGACAGCTGGGTCTAGCCCCCCCCCCCCACCCCGACTGTTAGGTCTGGCTCTATTGACTCTCGTCCCCTCCCACCCCCCACCTGTTGAGTCTGGCTCTACAGACTTCCCCCTTCCCTAAAGACCTGGCCGCAGGGACCCCCCAGTTGCCGGAACCAACAAGAGGTAAACACATTACTCCCCAGTGCTGCCGGAGGCGAACATGTCTTCACAATAAGACTTCAACCCATCCTCCAGCCCAAGCAATAAGTCAAACACTTACTAAGTGTTTACTATGCAATGTTGTACTTATTCAGCAGACAACCAACAGGATGAATTTGTATACATAGTATAATAATAAACATTGTGTTATGTAAATTATTAGTATTATGTATTGTGGGTTTATGTATAGTTAGGTCTAGGTTAGGTGGTGTTTACACTTCAGACTGAAGGTGGAACAACACACGTGTCGAGTCATAGCCCCTAACATGGCTTCGTCGATTATGAGTCCAACTACTAACTTATGTAGAGTTTTGTGTAGTCAGTACTGAATCTGACTTATACTTCTGAAACTCGAAGCTCTTTGTTTTGATGATGGACTGCAAGATTCAGAGCCGGGAAGCCTCCACTCTTCAGACGGAATTATAACATACTGCTTGGTATCAAGTGTGTGTGTAGGCTATATACAAAATTTACACATTAATTAAACGTTACTATCATCCCTGAATGCACTCGAAGTCCTCAACGACATATCTTTAACATGTCTGTGTCTGAAACAAGGCCTTTCGGACACACCTGAAATCTTTTGACATCTGTCGCATAGGCAATACTGTGACACTTGTTAATTAGCATGATTTTGAACTAAATTACTAGGCAGAGAGATTCCTGGAAAAATATTCCTATAATAATCTGAGTCGTTTGTGCCTTTAAGTCGGCACAAACGTCACGATGATTTAAGCCATTGAACAATCTCTCAGTTTATATGGTAGTGAAATAAGGAACCTGTTAAACGGTGGTCATGTAAGATAAACTGTATGGAGGTAATGTTCAGATGTATCTAAGGTGAACAGCCCAGCGCTTATTGTTACTTGCTGCCTTGGCTGATATACACAATCATAAAGATAGGCTATTTAACACAAGGGGCACACGCACTAGGGGACACAGGTGGAAACTGAGTGCCCAAATGAGCCACAGAGATATTAGAAAGAACTTTTTTAGTGTCAACTAAAATAAAATGCCTAAATCTCTATTCTCTAGAGCGCAGGTGGGACAGATACCTAATAATTTACAAGTGGAAAATATTAAGAGGGGCTGGTCCCAAACCTGCACGCAGAAATAGCACCACATGAGACCAGAAAGCATGGCAGGATGTACAGAATACCCCTGTTGAAAAGCAGAGGTGCAACAGGTACTCTGAGAGAGAACTCTATCAATATCAACGGCCCGAGACTGTTCAACACGCTTCCACTACACATAGGGACATAAGTGCCCCTCACAGTGTTCAAGAGAGACCTTCATAAACACCTCCAAAGAATACCTGATCAACCACGCTGTGATTCATACGTCAAGCTGCGAGCAGTCGCGTCCAACAGCCTGGTTAACCAGTCCAGCAACCAGGAGGCCGGACCGGGCCGCGGGGACGTTGAGGTCCCCTCTAAAATAATCAACATCAACGATGTTACCGCCCTAATATATCTGCTAGCAGCAGGGCAGCGGACTCTACATGGAACCTAACTGTCATTTAGTCTAACTCTAGTAGGTTAATAATTTTGTAACTAGCGTCAAAAAATTTTTATTTGCTTATCTAAACGAACTAGAGGGTTCAGTTCCTGAACCTGATTATATGCCTCTGTAATCCTTTACACCCCCGCCCACGGGATGGGTATGGGGTACATAATAAAGAAAGAAAGAAATTGAAATTCTAGTCGAGGGGACACAAATTGCTTCTGTAGAACTGGCAGGCGTTTGCGGAAAGAGAAAGCAGAAGGGACGGAGGGTTTGTGGAAGGGGACGGAATTTGTTTGAGGTGTGAGGAGGGGGATTCGTGTGGGAGTTTAGGGAGGGAGAGCGGGGGGTTGTAGAGACGAAGGGTGGAAGGGAAGGGAAGGGAGGGGTGGGGGGGTTAGGTAAAGAAGAGGGGGGGGGGGTTTTGATTCAGCGCCTGGGGTGAGTACACATGCACTGGGAGGATACTCCTCGCGCCGCACCGCCCCCAACACCACTCTCCAAATAACCTGCCCATAGTTTGATATGGTTAATTAGTCGGTAGAGAGACTGTATAGTATAAAGCCACTAATTACGCACACCGTTTCGCCTTTTGTATCGTACTGTGTAAGAAACAGTACACCCAGCCGAGTGTAACTTCATTGCTACCTCAGACCCAGATATACACGCCTACAAACAATTTACTTGCTGAATGAGATAGACATTGTCGTGTACCTAGGCTTGTTAGTAATATAAAAATGATACAGAAATAAAACGTGATGTGAAAAATGTATGTATCTATCTCTCTCTCTCTCTATCACACACACACACGGTGTATACCCTGCAAGGTGATGGAGAAGATAGTGAGAAAGAACTTAATAGCACGTGGAGGGGGTCACAGGTGCAAATTGAGTGCCCACTAAATGGAATGCTAATGGAAGTGATGTGGTGGAGGCTGACTCCATACATAGTTTCAAGTGTAGATATGATAGAGCCCAGTAGGCTCAGGAACTCGTACACCGGTTGATTGACGGTTAAGAGGCGG